ATACTTTTTTGTTTCTAACTTTTCGTGAATTTATTAAATTATTATGATTACATTTTAGGGCTAGTGTAATTTTATCTCTTGAACAATAAAGACGCATTTTTATTTTAGCATCGACAATAATAATATTGATTATTATTATTATTATTATTATTATTTTTATAATTATTACTATCATTAACTTTGAAACCAGTCGGAGAGTGCGACTTAAAATGGAAAGCAACAGATTCTGAAGTTTCAGGTCATAAAACATAAGCGTAAGCCCTTGCTATCAGATAAACCCGGGGAAAAGTTGCAACTCGTTTTCATAAATGTCAGCGTTCCCGAGAATGTACGTCAGATAAGTGAGACCCTACCACAAAATTTCTGTCAAAATAAGAACATTTGCGCAAATATCATGAAGTTTTTACCGATTAGGACATATTGGAGACGCGAAGATTGTGGTTGACCTGAGTTTTACACCAGTACAACATTCCCCTCGTCGCGTGCTAGTTGCGCTACAAAAAAAGTTAAGAACAAGATTCTAGAGGAGGATGAGAAAGGCATTATTAAAAAAGCGGTAGAATCCTCAGAGTGGATCAGCACTATGGTAATAGCTAGTTGCCAAACCTCAGAAGATTCGAATCTGTGTGGACCCAAAAAACCTGAAACGTGCCATACAACACCCCAAATTTGAAATGCCGACGTTGGAAGAACTGTTACCAGAGCTCGACAAAGCCAGAATCTTCAGTTCCTTTCATGCAAAGATGGATTCTATCAACTTGGTCCTGACCAAGAGAGTAGTTAACTCACCACTTTCTGGACACCCCTGGGAAGATACCGTCACTTAAGAATGCCCTTTAGCAATAGTTTAGCTCCAGAAGTCTTTGAAAGCAGACTACAAGAATGTCTCGCCGACCTGCCTAGTGTGAAAGCCATCAGAGATGATATTCTTCTTGTTGGTTATGGTGAAAACGACTCGGAAGCCCTTCTTAATCATGATAAGAATGTGGTCCGCCTACTTAAACGAACCAAACAAGGGGCGGTATTGAGTCATCTGATGGAAGATGACAGTGAGCGGCCAGTGGAGTTTGCTTCTCGTACACTTAGCAGTGCTGAACGAATTTATGCCCAGATATTAAATGAGGGGCTGGCTATCATCTTTGGAATTAAACGATTTCAGCTCTATCTCTGTGGTAGAAAGCTTACACTAGTAACGGATCACCAAGCTCTAACTCGCATTTTTGGTCCGAAATCTAGTGTTCCCCCATTGGCTGCAGCCTGTTTAGAACGATGGGCTGTACTACTGTCTGGATATGAATTTTACATCACATTCAAAACTTCTGCTGACAATGCTAATGCAGATTTTTTCTGTGGATTTCCACTACAATCTCTGTGTGATGATGAGGATTTGGATCCAGATATGCATTATGCGTTTGTAACGGTAACAGATGAATTGCCCGTAACTGCAGCAGAGATAGCTGGAGGTACGAAGACAGATAGTTTGCTTGTAAAGGTATATGAATATACTTCCTCTGACTGGCCAGGCAATTGCCCGAGTCCAGAGCTTGGACCCTTTTGGAATGGTATAGATAAGGTTGCGCTGGAAAATGGGTGCTTTTTGTGGGGTAGGCGTGTTATCATCCCATTTAGCTTACAAAACCGTTTACTGGAGGAATTACACGAGTGCCATCCAAGTATGTGCAGGATGAAAGCACTAGCCAGGTCCTTTCTGTGGTTGCCTGAAACTAATCTTGATATAGAAGAGAGGGTAAGGCTTTGTGATGTGTGTCCCAGGTACATCATTCTCCTAGGGCATTTCCTTTGCTGCTGTGGCCTTGGTCAACTGAGCCTTGGCAGAGAATTCATGTTGATTATGCTGATGGTTGATAGCCATTTTAAATGGATGGAAGTCTTTCCGATGAGGAGCACCACTGCAGATGCTACCATAGAGGTCTGAGAGCTCTGTTTTCTCGATATGGGCTGCCATTGGAGGTGGTCACCGATAATGGCCCATAATTTGTGGCTGCAGAATTCCAGATATTTTTGAAAATGAATTGCATTAAACACACTTTGTGCCCCCCATATCATCCCTCTACAAATGGTTTGGCAGAAAGACATGTACAAACTTTCAAAAGGATGTACCGGGCTTGTCCTGACTAGGGGTCACTTCAGCACAAGGTGGCTAATGTCCTATTCCACTACCGAAACACACCACACTCCACAACTGACAAGTCCCTGCTCAGCTGTTTTTAAAAGAAGAGCCCAGAACACAACTCTTCTTAGTTAAACCCAGCTTGTAAAGCTATGTAGAAAAGAAACAGGTAGTATCCAAATTATACAGGGTTGGGCTCCACCCGAGAGGGCGAATTTTTGATTTATATCAACCAGTTAGGGTAAGTAACACTAGAGGAGGGAAGGAGAAGTGGATAGCAGGCACTATTGTGACGGTAAAGGGTCCTGAAAATTACCTTGTACGTGTTCCGGGTAATAGTCGTCGTTTTGTACACGCTAATCACTTGATACCAGATGATGCCAGAGGCCTGGATTCCCATGTGGAAAAGGTTACACCAGATGTGTTAAAAAAGAATCTATCCTTGGATTTTAAAGGAGCATTCCTCAGTTCCGGTGGAAATTCCCAAATTCCATCTAAAGATAACAATGAATTATCTAGCAAACCTGGCGTTATTGCTGTGCCAACCGTTGAAAATGATATCGAATTAGAAAGAAGTAATGATTCTGGGTGTGAGAGTGCCGATAGAGCCATTACCAGGCCCGTTGAACCTAGCCACAGTAAATCCGAGGCCGGTCCGGTGGTCACCCGATTAGGGCGAGTGATCAAGCCTCCAAACAGGTTGAGTTTGTAGTTCATATTAGACGATTACGTTTATGGTTTAGAAAAAAACTGTATAGGAAGGAGGAAATGTAGTATTTGTAGGTCACGTGATGTAAGATGATGCAATACCTGAAGAATACAGTTGAGCTAATGTCTACTGTGGACTACACGTGTTTTCTTTTTGTCCTCTTATTTCGCTTTTAATATCCTTCAGGATACAAAAATGGCCAATGCAGAAAGATCAAATACCAATCAAGATCGGGGAGTATTGTTTTTACCGCGACGAGCTATCAGTACACAATAGTGTTCTTAAGGCTCGAGAGTAGTCATCCCTAAGTTACTAAGACCTGAAGTCAAATCCAGAAATCATTCCAGCCATTTAGGAGTAGAAGCTTGCATACGTAAAGCTAAAGACACTGTATTCTGGCCTTGTATGAATGCAGAAGTGAGTGACCGAATCAAACAATGTTCAATTTGCAACGAATTTCAAGCTAAAAATCAGAAGTTTCTAATGCAAAGCCATGAACTTCCTGACTGCCCGTGGAGTCGAGTAACTGTTGACCATTTCAGTTCAGACTTCATGGCAAAGAATACATCGTGCTTGTTGACTACTATTCAGATTTGATGGAAGTACAAGAATTGGAGGAAAACACTTCCAGTTCCCTGATTGAATTATTTACGGAACAATTCAGCCGACACGGCATTCCAGATACACTAACTACTAACAACGCTCCTCAGTTTACAAGTCATGAGTTACATCAATTTTCAGTCGATTGGGAGTTCACTCCCGTATTGTCTTCCCTGCATTATCAACGGAAAGGCAGAGTCTGCTGTGAAATTTGTCAAGTCTTTGTTCAGAAAAGCTTTCAAAGACAACAAAGACCCATGGTTAGCCCTATTGGACCAGGGCAGCACACCAACAGAGTCCCTGGAAAGTAGCCCAACACAAAGATTGATGTCTAGACGCACTAGAACCTTACTACCTACAGCTTCTAACTTACTGTACCCCAAGATTTCCGAAAATGTAAATGCAAAGCTGAAATTGAAAAGTCAAAAGGCTAAGTGGTACAATGATCGCACATCACGCACCCTACCAGAATTACAAGTTGGGCAAGATTGGCACCTCTGCAAAGGAATCAAAGCTGGAAAACGGGTACCTGTATTAAGAAGCTATCAGACAGGTCCTATGTAGTAAAAACTAGTTCAGACAATGAAGTACTCCGTTGAAATCGGGAATTTATGAATTCAGCTGCACAACCAGCTGAACATACCAAACCGGTTGAAAGCAGTGACAGCAACCTTTTAAAGAGTGTAAACCACCCTTCAAAGCAAGACGGAAATTCAGCTAATTATGAACCGAAGCCAATACTCACACCACCACAAACTGTTCCATTGAAGAAAACTCGTACCAGAGTTGTAAAGCTACCACTTTGTTGTGTAGTTTGTCGTATGAAAATTTACTTCAGGTAGAGAGAACTCGAAGTATTCATATTAGAAAAAACTATTGGACAGTAACTTTAAAAAGGACATTCGACTTTTAGTCCTGCAAAAAGTTCTATTTGCTTTTTTGGTTTGTTTTTAATTTTATTTTTGTAATGTCCTTTTCAATTTGGACACATTTCATTTATATGTTTTCTTTAGGAAGTTAGCTTACACCAAAAGAAGGGAGATGCTACGATAAGTTAGTCCTACGTCACTTGTCACGTTACGTGTTTCCTTATTTGTTATTCATAAACCAGTCGTGTTTTACCGAATTTGTAGTTTATGTGTCATAATAGTATCCGGAGCGGAACGAAATTGGCGCGTCGTCGTGTTCCTGTTTCGATTTTCTTCAATAAATGATGAAATTTCATTGTATTCTGACTGCTCTTTTTCGTTCGATTTATCTAATAAGCCCCGTCGGAAAAGTTATTTAAACTGCCTGCCATTTTTTTTAAACTTCAATTCAATTCGTCGCTTGCCCGATCCGAGAAAACCTGTCCAATTGGTTCTTTGGAGTGCAAATACAGTGTGTTATTTTTACTCGTCTTGGGTGTCATTTGTACTCTACGGAGTGTAGTTGGTTAATAAAAGTACATATTACTCTGCCCTCTACATGATATGCTGTTAAGTTAAAAACGGCAAATAGCTAAGTCTAAGTCAGTCACACTGCATAAATGGAAACTTTATTCTTGATCATAATTTTCACCTTAGGCATTGTTTCCATGTCTTTCAACTGATTTTCTAATTCAGTGAATGTTGGTCTTGCATCCGGGTCAGTTTTCCAGCATTTCATCATGATCTGATACCTGGTATTTGGAAAACTCGAGAGATTAAAAGAAGGTTTCCTTTAGCAATAACGAAAACGAATCTAGAAAGAAAACTTACAATTTTTTATCCACGTGTTGACGTTTAGGCATCCTGTATCCCTCCTGAAGTGCGTTTGCAATTTTTCTTCCATCCATTCTTGGGTAAGGTGAACCACCTGGTAGAGATCCCCAACGTCATAGAAATGTAAACTTTAACAACACCTTTCTCACTTGGTGGAATATGAATCTGCATGGGAGAGCTCATTATGTTTGTTTACCTGAAAAGGATACATTGCGAAATCAAACTGGTATAAAAAAAGATTAAGTATAATAAAGATCAATCGGATGTTACCTATGGTAAAAATCTCGTAAAGCACAACTCCATAACTCCATCTGCAGACAGGCAAATCAAACGCATGCAAATCAGGTGATTGAAGACACAAAAATCATATAGTGATTAAAATTCATATCCATATCAAAATTTGTTAAAAAGAGTTTGAAAATAGTTATTACACCTCATTGCTATGGGTAGTAAAGTACTTACACATCACTTTTGGTGGTATATGTACCGTACAACAACGCCTCATAAGCAGTCCACTTTACTGGAAGACGACCCTAAATAAATCAAACATAACTTTATGAAACAGCTCAAAAATTATCAAAAGTGACAAATCAAAGACGTTAACATTTCTTACGACACTTGTATAAATGCCGATATTTTCATTAGGATCCAATCTAAGGATTTCAAGAACGAAGAAACTAATATGTAACCTGTACCACGACAACGATATGTAGTTGAGTACCACCCCTCCCTTCCACTCTCTTTCTCCAATTCTTGGATTACCTTTGTCTTTCGCTCATATATATTTTCCTGCTGGACAGCTCTGGCCATTCCAAAGTCTGTCACTTTACACGTTTCTCTCTCTCCAACCAAAACATTACGGGCTGCAAGGTCTCGGTGAATTATCTGAGGGTGAAAATCAACTCGGGAATAAACTAAAAAGTTTCATATTGAATAAAATAAATAAACTGAAAAGAATGGATCAAGGAATAAGAGGATTGCCTAACCGCGGTATGCGTATTGATTTTCATTTTGAGTGGTTGGTGAAACTCGGATACATCACGTCAGGAAGTAACAAAAAAAAAAACCTTAACGTGTGGTACAGCGGACGAGTGATAAAATTAGACATCTGCTTCTTAGGTAAAGAACACAAAAAAACATTCTTTTGTGCTGTTCTCAGTTTTTTTCCAGTTTTAAAAGTTGTACAAACATCAGTACTGCTTAGTTTGAGGAACCTAAGTTTGTTTGGCACGCGATTCAACTTACAGATTTTGAAGATAAGTTACTCATGCCATCTGCTATTTGCCAAGCAAACTTCATCAGCTGCTGTGACGTCAGATTTGTTTGTGGTTTGATATCCGGGTCTTTGTAGTAAGTGTCATTTAATCCACGGCTCTTTCTCAGGTAGCCCAGCAGATCTCCAAAAGGAACATATTCGATCAAAACCAGCAGTGGTTCGAAAGAAATAACAAAGCACATACAACAAGTTGTCTCTAAAGAGAAGAAAATAATATTTTGTGAAAAATCAATACTTGTAGTCTGCAAGTTCATCAACTAGTCGTTGCGAGTGAAGACTTAAGGTAATGGTTTAAAAATATCCTTCCAATCTCCGTCCATCTCAAGAGTATTCCAACTTTCCTTAAAAAGAAAGTCAACACATTGTAACTGAATGCCTCTTATCGACATCATCGAGCTTCAAGTTGCGGCTAAAGCCTTCTTCCGAAGTTCTTAGCCACTTTCTAGAGACTAAACTCCAGCATTTATCTTAAACTTGACCACGTATTTGAGGTTTTAAGGTTACCGTGCAACTTCAGGGGTGTCTCGTGTGCAAGCGATGTAGCGCGTCCAGTTTATACTGTAGATATCTAAACCCCTATATCAAAATAAAGCTTATAGGACTGGCTATCAGTCTAAACCAAAATTTTGAAAAAAAAAATTAATTGTCGAATTTTTCACGACTTCTAATTCCTGGCGCCCGAACCACCTTTTGAATGTTATATGTCAAAGCGAATTTTTTTTTCGCTTATTTAATGTGTTCCTCCGTTTCCGGGGCCAAAGCGCTAAAAAAACGTGCCTGCGATTTGCCATATTCAACGTCAGTGAAAAGTTACAGAACATTTTTGAAATAGGATTAAAAAAAATGTGGAGTGATCGCACAAAAATCGCTCTTGAAAAATAGGGATTTAGAAATACAAAATTCGGAGAAATGTTTTTGTTGTTTCTATGTAAAACAAGCTACTGTGAAAATTTGAGAGCAATGGAACAAATTCCCTTTGACTTGCAGCTCTTAAAAGGTGATTCGCGCGCTTGCATTTAGAAGTCGTGAAAAATTCGAAAATTCATTTTTTTTCAAACTTTTTGGTATAGTCTGATAGCCAGTCCTATAAGCTTTAATTTTATATTGGGTTTAGATATCTACAGCTTAAACCGGACGCGCTACATCGCTTGCACGCGAGACACCCCTGAAGAGGCACGATAACCTTCAACGAATTTGACCAACTTAAAAAAGAACGGTAAAGAACGATTTAAAATAAAAAAACTATATTGTAATGCGTAATTTGTTCAAAACCGTAAGATACGAGTGACTTTTCCATGTATTCTCGATTGATATTTCCCTCCTGTGACAAAGAAAATAACAAAGTCCGGCCTCCCTCAAAAGTAAATGCAAACGACTAAATTATCTCACCAGACTCTGTAACACATCCTAGAAGTTTAATGACGTGAGAATGTGGCTTTAGCTGCTTCATTGCTGCAAGTTCTTTCATGAAATCTCTCTTATCTGACTCAGCAGCGTTTGCTGAAAATGAAATAAAATTTGAGCGTGGCAATTCTTGAAGCTTCTGGCATAGTTACCTATCCCTAGTTATAGTTCACCACTAAATTGTTTCCGGTTCTTATTGGTTTAAATCGATCACGTGACGCAATAGTGTTCATCCGTGGAGAGACATTATCAGCCCATAGTGCCCGCCCGCGGAAAATACCCGGATGGATAGTGCCCGTCCGCGGAAAATACCTGAATTGATAGTACTCATCCGTGAAAAATTTTGAATGGTGTGACGGCCGCGAAGTTAGGCAGATCGGAAAACAGTGACTTTTAAATTCTGACAGGTATAACGTATTATTTAGCCAATGTACGGTTGCGAATTATTGACATTTGTGAAAAGCTGTTTAATATAAGGGCATTTAGGGCATTCATACCCAACATATTGATATAAGACCTAAAACGACAATTTTAAACATTCCATAGATTTAAGAAACTCACTACGGAGTCGGAACAATGACAGATATTAATCAATCTCTTCGCAACGAACTACGTCACGCATAACAATATTAAATTTACTCTGAAGTCTTTCCAAACGGTGAATCCAATCTGAATAAGGCCTTACATTTTAGCATTTTGATGGCCACTGTAGTAGTTCCACGTCTCCCCTGAAGTTCTGGTGCCGTTCCCTTAGCGACTTGACCAAAAGCACCTTTACCAATTATTTTTTCGATCGTCACATGATCCCTTTCCACTTCCCAAGAGCGAGTTGACGGATGGAGAGCTGCGTAATCTGTAGCTTGATCAGCACTTTGTGTTTTACTTTTATCTTTGTGTATTTCTTTAAGATCCATGTATTCTGCACCAGTCTGAGTAAATGTGCTTGAAGCAGTAATACTGGGCTCGAGATCGTTCAATGCCATTTCATTCTGGCGAAACCAAAAAAAAAATTACAGTGTATAGTTTTCACCCAGGAGAAATATCTGATCGGGTAGTCTGATCGTTTGGGTGAACGCAGTCCTAAGAGAGACTGTTCTGTGTTCTAGTGACTGACCGATCGACAACCTTATCAACGGAGTCAACCGTGATCACTAGACTCTGATATCGCTGACAGCTTCAGTCCCTAGCGGGACTACTCTTACTCAGACGATTAGACTACAGAATAAATGAATTATTGAGCAATAGATACTTGACAAAGTAACCTGAACAAATTAAGGGAAAGGTGATGTTTGGAATCCGCCAAAATTGAAAACTTGCTAACAAGTTTGAGGACGTACTTTACAGGGTTAATCCCAATATGATGTACGAGAAATCAAAATTAACTTTTTTATGACGCTATTTAAAAGCTATACTGTTTCTATTTTACGCCCTAGTAGTATCCCATATAGCTACAAGTTAGGGCTAGCCATTAAATGTAGTTATAGTTGGGTGTGAGTTCCAATTTCAGTGGTGGCTTGAGTTACATACATCTCTTATTCTTTTCGGTAGCAGTTTTAAAGGGAAAAGACCTTCCTTTTCTAGCCAACTTACGTCATAAACACTGCCTTCGTGTGCAAGTTTCCTAAAATGGTAAAAAAGACCCCGCGATAAATTATTGGTTTAGTTTGGAAGCAATATTAAAACACTTGTGTCATTAAAAGAAAAATTAAAAAAAAAAAACACATTGAAGAAACTTTCGACATGTACCTTTGGTTTACTGTGATGCCTGTAAGACGGGAAATACGGAAATACGGCAATGATTAAGATTTTAAAGTAGAAATGATATGGTAATGAAAAAACACGACTATAGAAATATTGCACATCTAAATTCGATTCTGTACCTTTCCTGCACAGCCAAATGATTCAATGACACAAAACAATGATTATGAACACAAGTGACCCGATTATGGCTTTGAAAATGACATCATTACAAGAACACGGGCTTTCGTTAGGAACTAAGAAAAAAGATACAGTTAACTCAATTAGTTGGCTATTTGTTAAAAATATGCTAATGTGGCCAAGTTACTTGGAAAATAAATTAAAAGAAATCGACAACTGATATAGCATCTGTGGTAATAGAAATAACAAGACAAAGATACTTGCAAATGCTGTGTAGCTTAAAACATAAAAAAAAGATATGGTCTACATTTTATAATGGGAAAATCTTGAAAAGAACGCGAGATACGGCCCAGAGATTGTTAGGGGAACTGGTAGCGAATAGAAAAAGTTATCACAATCTGAGAGGCCTCTCGTAGAATGATGAAGTTTTTCGCGGGCTTTCGTCGGGGATCTCGATTAGCACATTTTGTTTACATCGCATCTTCCAACGCACAAAAAAGGGATTTCCAGGCACATTTTGCAAAACGTTGAAAAAGAACAGTCTCCATGAAAGGTCTAAAGGCTGAAAGTTTCTAAAGAAATTGTGGTGCTGCGACGGTTGGGGTAACAAGGTAATTTGGTTATATCAACTAAGTTGAAATTGTAAATTGGCCACCGTAACGAGTGAAAAAGCTGATGTTTAGAGCGGTAGCCCTTCATCAGAGTGAATGGAGGAGTTGAGGGTTGTGTGTGGGTTTATATGCATAAAACGGAGCTACGTTATTGGTGGGAACATGGTGACGAGAAAAACACGAATAAATTAGTGAAATGAAAAGCGTTCGCTGATAGGTGTAAGAGTGCCGATTTGAAAGATAAACTTTTTTTCAAGAGTTTTGCGGCTTTCCGTGCTACCTAGATGTAACGAAAGACCGCAAGATTGCCATATGTTCTTAGGATGATTAGGCAAATTTAAGTGTCTAGCAACTGGTTTTGATGCGTCCTTGTCATTCCTATCTACGTCGCGAAGGTGTTCACGGAATCGGTCACCTAGTCGTCTTCCTGTTTCGCCGATGCACAACTTTTTGCAATAAGTGCAAGTTATGCAATAGATTACGTTGGCGGAGGTGCACGTGAAGTGATCGGTGATCTTAATGGATCGCTTGGGTCCCGATATTTTCTCAGCGTTGTGAATGAAAGGACAAGTTTTGCATCGTGCGCGAGCGCA